TAGAAGAGGTGATATATATATATATATATATATATATATATATATAGACTATTAGCCATCAGAAAGAATGAACTCTTGCCATTTGCAGTGACGTAGATGGACTAGAGTGTATTATGCCACATGAAATGTCAGAGAAAGAAAAATACCATATGGTCTCACTCATATGTGGAATTTAAGAAAGAAAACAGATGAACATATGGGATATGGGAAAAGAATAAAAGGGGAGAGGGAAACAAGCTATAAGTGACTCTTAACAATAGAGAACAAACTGAGGGTTGATGGAGGGAGGTGGGTGGTGGATGGGCCAGATGGATGATGGGTAATAAAGAAGGCACTTGTTGAGGGCAGCTCAGTCAGTTAAGTGTCTGCCTTCAACTCAGGTCATGAATCCATGGTCCTGGGATCAAACCCCACAATGAGCTCCCTGCTCAGTGGGGAGTCTCCTTCTCTCCCTCTGCCCCTGCCCCTGCTCTACCTCACACTCTATCTTTAAAAAGAAAAATATTTTTTAAAAATCTTTAAAAATCTTTTAAAAATCTGTAAAAAGAAAACACTTGTGATGAGCACTGGGCATTGTATGTAAGTGATGAATTACTGAATTCTATTCCAGAAATCAATAATGCACTATATGTTAACTAACTAAATTAAAAAAGAAACAGAATAAAATCAGAATGTAGAAAAAATAATCATGGAAGAGACGCAATTTGGTGGAAGAGTAGGGGACCTCATTTCATCTGGTCCTCTGAATTTAGCTAGATAACTATGAAATCACTCTGAACACCTATGAATTCAACCTGAGATACAACAAAAGAATTGCTGGAATTCTATAAATAGAAAAGTGACCACCTTTTGCAGGGTAGGAGTGTGGAGAAGTGAAATGAAGGGGACATATCGGAGGATAAACGGCAGAGGGGAGGGAGCCTCTGTAAGCCGGCTACCAGAAAGTGATATAGCCCCAGAGCACAAAATCTGAACCTTTAAAAATCCGCTCCAGTGAGAGACATCCCTGCCAGAAAGATGCTCTTTGGTGAAGTAGGACAGAATCCTAGGTGGAACAGTGTAGTCTCAAGATCCCTGGGGTCACAGAGAGCATGCGGGGTCCCTGAGCCAGCAGAGTTCCCCAGCATTGGAGCGGGGAACCTGGTTACTGTCTGTGAGCCCAGGAGGAAGCTCTCAGCTTGGTTTACCATAAACCGTGAACCCTGCAGGCTCTGGTGACACCTCTCAGTGGAGTGGGGAGGAGCCTTGCAAAGGTCAGTTAAAGCCATGGCCCTCTGCCTTCCCCCGGGAAGGGCAATGGGGGCACTGGCACTACTAGGTGAATGCTGTCCTTGCAGGGTCCCTGCAAAGACAGAGGCTCATGACCCCCTACCTTTCTCCAGTAGGGGTGGTACAGGTACACGCATGACCAGGTGACCCTTCTACTGGGGGGAGAGGTGTTCTGAAAATGACAGAAATGCATGAACCTCCACCTTCCCCCAGGAGTCTGCAGTGTGGCACACACAGTGAAAACTGCTTATCCCTGAGGGTTTACTGAAGAAAGGGGACCAGTCTTTCAGCTTGGGGGCTGGAGATTGGGGCACAGCCATTTTTACTCTCATCTTCTAAAGAGGCCTAGAAAGCCTTCAGGGAACAAAAGAGACATAGAAAAACCTTATATTGAGCCCGCCCCCTGGCAAGGGTTGGTGCAACTCAGCCAAGACAAAGACACCTGAGACTCAGTGCAGCAGGCCCCTGCTCCAGGACTAGCTGAAAGAACAAGGAACACCAAGCTTAGAGAACACACAGCACTGCAAACGTGCAGCTCTAAGGGAAAATAGTATATAGAATTCGAGGTTGTTTCTCATGATTCTTTTATATTTCAGTTTAAAATTTTCCCTTTTCAACGAGTTTTTTATTTTATCAACTCTTTATTTTTAAGTCTTTTTTTAACTTTCGTTTTTTACGTTTTTACATTTCCTAGACATATTCTTCATTTTTGGTTTCCTTTCACTGTATTCAATTTTATTTTTGTATATGTATAGTTTTGCCTTCTTTACAATTTTGGGATTTAGTGTCTTCTAACACAGACCAAAATACACCTGGGACCAAGTGGATCACCTTGTTTTGTCCACCTGGGAGATTTTATTCTCTCTTCCCCCCAACCCCTGCCTTTTTTTTTTTTTTTGGTTTCTGATACTTCAGAATTAGCTAGTGTGTATTTCCCTTGAGTTGGGGTTGATATTTGTATTCTTTTTCATCTGTTCATCCATATGTCTTTAGGCAAAATGACTAGAAGGAAGAATTCAAAACAAAAGAAAGATCCAGAGATAATACTCTCTACCACAGATCTAATTGATGTGGATATAAGTAAAATGTCAGAGATGGAATTCAGGACAACAATTATAAAGTTAATAGCTGGGCTTGGAAAAAGCATAAAAGATATTAGAGAATCTCTTATTGCAGAAATGAGATCTAATCAGGCCTAAATTAAAAATGCTCTGTGATGAAGTCTAAATTGGATGCTTTAACAACTAAGGTAACTGAAGCAGAAGAGATGGTAAGTGACATAGAAGACAAGTCGGAAAGAAGGAAGCTGAGGAAAAGAGAGAAAAACAACTAATAGACTAATAGACCCAGAAGGAAGGCTTTGAGAAATCAGTAATGCCATAAAATGAAACATCAGAATTATTAGAGTGCCTCAGGGAGAGGAAAGAGAGAGAGGGTCAGAAGGTATATTTGAGTAAATTATAGCTGAGAACTTCCTTAATCTGGGGAAGGAAACAGCCATTCATATCCAAGACAGAGAGGACCCTTCCCAAAATCAATAAAAATAGATCAACACTCTGACATATACTAAGGAAGCTTGAAAATTTCAGAGAAAGAAAAAAATCTTGAAAGCAGCTGGAGACAAGAGGTTCTTAAGCTATAGGGGTAGGAACATTAGACTGACATCAGACTTAATCCACAGAGACCTGACAGGCCAGAAAGATCTGGCATGATATACTCAGAGTATAAATGAGAAGAACATGGAGCCAAGAATACTTTATCCAGCAAGGCTGTCATTAAGAATGGAAAGAGAGATAAAGAACTTCCAGGACAGACAGAAATTGAAAGAATATGTGACCACCAAGACAGCACCACAGGAAACATTAATGTAATGTAAGCAATTAATTGAATTGAATTGCTATATATATATATATTTAATTGCTGTATATTAATGTAATGTAAGTTTAATTAAATATTAAGTTAATGTAAGCAAAGAGAGACCAAAAGTAACATAAGAGTAACATAAACCAGAAGAAAACAAAATCTACAGAAACAGGAACTTATAGGTATTACAATGGCAATAAATTCATATCTTTCAATAGTTACTCTGAATGCAAATGGGCTAAATGTTCCAATCAAAAGATACAGGGTATCAGATTGGATAAAAAGGCAAGAACCATTCATATGCTGTCTACAAGAGCCTCACTTTAGACCCAAAGACACGTCCAGATTGAAAGTGAGGGGATGAAGAACCATTTATCATGCTAATGGACATAAAAGAAAGCTGGGTAGCAATCCTTATATCAGACAAATTACATTTTAAACCAAAGACTAGTAAGAGATGAAGAGGGACACTATATCATACTTAAAGGATCTATCCAAAAGCAAAATCTAACAATGGCAAAGATTTATGCCCCTAACTTGGGAGCAACAAATTATATCAACCAAGTAATAACACAGTTAAAGAAACACATTGATAATAATACAATAAGAGTAGGGGACATCAACACCCCACTCACAGCAATGGATAGATCATCTAAGCAGAAGATCAACAAGGAAACAAGGGCTTTGAATGACACACTGACCCAGATGGATGTAACAGATATACACAGAGCATTCCATCCTAGAGCAACAGAATACACACT